ATCAAAATACATAAAACGTTGATAAGATCAATCGTTTTAAATGGCTCTGAAACTTTAAGCACAACCCAAATAGATATAGCCTCTGCAAATTTTCGAAAACACAGTTTACGACGAATCTTTGGACCCATCACAGATGCAAACAGCGGAAAATAGAGAGTAAGAAGCAACAACGAAATTCATAATCTATTTAAGTAACCACTGATAACTGGCATCATGAGATCTAATAGACTGAAATGGCTATGGTATATTGAGAGAATGTCAAACGACAGAGAGGTAAAAGCTGTATACCACAAGGAAGCTGAATGGTCTTAGACCATGAGGCAGACCAAAAATACGATGGAGAGATAATCTCCAGACAGACCTGCAAACACTTGGTATCACCAACTGTAAAGAGAAGGCAAATCGGAGAGAGAGATGAATGGAGGCGGGTGATATCTGCAGCAATGAACCTCAAGGGCTCGGAAGGCTAAAGAAGAAGAATCGTCCCTCGATGTGTTAGAAGTTGACATCACAGCACTCGGGACATACAATAAGCGCTCCGACTGAGTCTTCGTTAGAAGTCGCAGTTCGAGTTTCGATGACACAAGTGGTGTGATTGTATGTACATCTTCCATTTCTTAGTGTTAAACGTCGTCCAAATCTCCTTTTCACACCGAGGACATCATTCTCTTCAGACCGTTCACTCGCTCCCATAGGGAATTGGTAACATTTAGCTTGTCAGGGCACAATTTAGCACCAAATGGTGTAGAAATAGCCAGTCTATGTACATTGTCGTTCCTCAATATACCTGTTGCCATGGGAAACATATCTAAAGGATGGGTGATTATCCAACACAAGCACGCCGTCTTGTCTTCTCGCGATCTTGCTTGCTACACATTTTAGAGTTCGGACATGTGGGGCTTGGGTCAGTTATATACAAATTCGCCTGGATGGGGATTCTAAACATAGCCCATGTGTGAGTGTGATGAAGATTCTCTGATCATCGACATCATTGTCGCCGTTCATTGTCGGGCCGTTATGCGCCACAAAACTCGAGGTCTAGTCCTTCGGTTCTTTCTTTTGTGTGCAATCCTTTCGATATCATGGAAATCCAGTCCAGCACATGTGTGGCCGCTTGTTCTACTGCCCATGCGGGGTTCTGGGAGCAGCCGTTATCTCTGTAGTCTTGCTTGACATAGCAGGCTGGTAAGCGACACCATTCTCTATTGTTTTTCCTATCCTTTGTGATGTATATGCCCATGATGACATTGACCTGCGCTGCACGGACACATCTGTGTAGATGGTGATATTTCCGTCCATGGTGGACTGTACTAATGCCTTCTCCAGGTATCTGGAGAGGGCACTGGCAGTACCTTGTAGAAGCTGCTGCATCGGATCTTAGCCTAGACGCAAGAACTCCCTAGCTCCCTTAGGTGTCCTCGTTTCCTCACATATTTTTTTCCAAATCAGTACCTGTTTGGCGATTCTATCTCCTTCTTCTGACTGACTGACTGACTTTCTACCCCACCAGGACATCACACAAGCGATAAACACCCGATGACACAAAGTGCCACCATGCGGATGAGGATCGCCGTGGAGAGGTCTCAGAAACCGCGTTCAGACATTTGGCCATATGTATGGCCTGCCTATATTGCGGCCCCTGGCAAAAGCCAGAGTAGGGCTTCAAATGACAAAAAATTTCGTCCTAAAAAAGACGAAATTGGATATATTAACAATCTCCTTCTTCTCTTCCACCTTGTACCTCAGCGAAGTGTTGGGGGTGGGGGGAGGGTGTAACATTTGGTGATGATCTCTGTCAATAGCACTAATAAGACTGCTGTTCATTTCTGGAAGGCCGTTCTTAATGCCATCCCGCCATCTCTTAGAATGTGCCCAATATACTGTCATCTTCTTTGTGTAATAACTGTTGATTCCAGCGGCTGTCCAGACATTTCTCGTATGTGAAGATGTTTTAATGTATACGTATTTGAATAAACAGTTCTCTGGCAAGGGAGACTACTACAGTAATGTGGTTATTATTTCCGGGTCAACTGATGAATGATTTCTCCTGTTTGTGCAAGGTGTGAAGGTATGAATGCATGAACTGTTACAAATATAATTATAATCTCACACACGGCAGAGTTTATGCTTCGGTTAAATTAGCAAGATAGAGGACTAAGTTCAGTTTCCTGTAATGCTATCACCAGCCATAAACACATTTACGCAAATTTAGCTGTTGTTTTCGTATTTTGTATGAGTGCTGGAGCCACATAAAAGTAAAGTCAAGTAATAGGGTAACGGACTCTCCTCCGAACTTCTACCCACGCATTATATGGCGGCCGAACAAACATCCTAACAGGGCCTCAGTCCTATTAAAAATATGCGAACTTCCGGCAACGAACGAATCGCGGCAAAACTAGAATTACTTGACAATTTCAAGAGACGCAACACTGCAGACGATAGTACCAGACGATAATAAAGCGACCGTTGACACTTTAGAGCGTTTCTGCAGACTATACTAGCAGACGATACTAACGACCATTGACAATTTCGAGACACGCAACATTACAGACGACAAAAGCGACATGGCGGCGAGACCACGCGTGCCAACGCTGATTAGCGTTGTCCTCAAACTTTTCGGGATGCGCAAAATGCTGTAACACTTACCGCCGACTGTATTCCCCGCATCGCTACGCGCGGCGCAGATGGGGGGCTAAACTAGATGCCTGGGACTCACAAGCAAATTATTTGGAGGAAGTTGCAGGAGATACAGTAGCTGTTGCTCGTGAGTCCCAGCCATCTAGTTTAGCCCCATTCCGCGCTGCATGTAGCGGCGCGGGGGATACGGTCGGCGGTGAGGCATAGTCACAGAAACAGGTCCGCAATTAACATATCGCTGAGACACTGTTAGAGCACTTGTTTCGTTATACGGAGCCGCGATTCGTTCGTCGCATATTTTTAAAAGGGTTGAGGCCTTGTTAGGATATTTGTTTGGCCGCCATAATGCGGGGGTAGAAGTTCGAAGGAGAGCCGAGTAACGTTCCCCTGGTGACACACAAGTAGATACCCGGGGAGTACTAAAGTGAATCTTATCAAAATTATTTCTTTCGACCAACACTATGCTTTCAGTGCCAAACATGGACACCTACATCCTTTAATTAACGTAACATTGTGACAACAGAGATATATATAATGCCCTAGAAGTGCTGCAGGAGTTGTAGGGAAAGATAGAATAAGTAATCGTAATCACGAAATCAGATGAATGCTAGGAATAAAGACAGTCTTACAGGTCATCAAAGAACAACAGATGAAGTGGTGTGGACACCTAACAAGAATGCCCTGGTACTATCTGCCACAGTGAGCCATACTAAAACGTTACAACGGGTACAGAGCGAGGGGAATACCTCGGAAAACATGGAGTGATGGCATTAAGAACAGCCTTACAGAAATGAACATCAATCTTAAAAGTGCTCTTGACAGAGCTCATCAACGAACCTTACATCTCCCCCCAACACTTCACTAAGGTACAAGAGAAGAAGAAGTAGCTGGGGGAGAGGGGGTGCGCTTCAAATAAAAACCACTGATGCACCACATATTGTACCTCTTCATTCACCCATGTAACCACTGATGCACCACATATTGTACCTCTTCATTCACCCATGTAACCACTGATGCACCACATATTGTACCTCTTCATTCACCCATGTAACCACTGATGCACCACATATTGTACCTCTTCATTCACCCATGTAACCACTGATGCACCACATATTGTACCTCTTCATTCACCCATGTAACCCCACTGATGCACCACATATTGTACCTCTTCATTCACCCATGTAACCACTGATGCACCACATATTGAACCTCTTCATTCACCCATGTAACCACTGATGCACCACATATTGTACCTCTTCATTCACCCATGTAACCACTGATGCACCACATATTGTACCTCTTCATTCACCCATGTAACCACTGATGCACCACATATTGTACCTCTTCATTCAACCAAAAGTCTGTCCTCCCAGTGACTTTGTGAGTTGTTCAGACAGATGCAAATCACTTAGGGCTAGGTCTGGCAAGTACGAGGGATGTGGTACATAGTGAAAGTGGAAGTCTTTGATAGTTTCAACCGTTGCACAGGCATTATGGGTTTGAGCCATGTTTCAAAAGGACAGTTTTACTCTAAAGTCCACATCATCGTTTGGATTTGATTGGATCACTAGATGAAGATGATTCCTATTAGGATGTGTATAAATATCACTTGTGACAGTTTTTACTATTCTCATCTAGTGCTTTAAAATAATTCCTCTTTCATCCCAAAATAGAGTCAGCATAACTTTTCCTGCATATGGCTGCATGCGAAACTTCTGGGGCATTCATTTTTCAGTATCTTTTCTGACTCACGGTAGTGCACCCAGGTACTAATTTCACAATGTCTAATTTGAGAATGGAAGTGGAGACAGTCTCTGCTTCCTTCCTTTGGTTTGAGAATCAGCTGTACACACATGCCGTGATTGTAACTGACTCACAGAGCATGTTGAGACAGGCATGCAGAGTGGCAAAGCATCACTTCAGAGGTCCTGGGTAGTAAGCATCCTTTGGATATTTTCTCCAGGTCATGTCAATGTGTTGGGAAATGAGGAGGCAGATAGACTGGCCGGTTCTGAACCACCTGGTGGTAAACTGATGTATGACAGGCTAGATATTGTGAGGGTCCTTTGGGAACAAGTGAACAGTGTGGAGGTGCAGATAGATTAATAATGGTCTGAGGAGAATGGCACTGTGAGGAGTTACCAGGGGATCTGGCCGACGCTCAACATTCAGGGAAAGGATGGGGGACGGAGAACTTATGTTAGTGTCCCGAGTGCTGTGATGTTGATTCTTAATTCAACATTTAACATTCTTATGCATATACCACATATACAAACATTCTTTTCACATTGTTTTCCTTGTAATTTGTAGCATATATTTACAGTAACATTTTATTACTCTTTTACAGTTAAATTGTAATTAAAATGTCTGGGAAGATTTTACAACCAAAAGGTCAAAAACGACTGACGAATGTTGCCATTGTCAGACTGAAGAAAGGCGGGAAACGTTTTGAAATAGCCTGCTACCCAAATAAAGTCACATCATGGAGGAACAAAATGTAAGTACAGGAATCATCTTATCTTATTCTTCAGTCTTACTATCTCTGAAACATTTTGCCCTGGGAAGCCCCAAACCCGGCTTTTCTGTCAGTGTTGTGGTCTGTAGGAACCTGTTTCTGAGAAGCATAGTTTATTATTATTATTGTTGGTTCTGTTTGTGACTTTGCAACATTTAGTAGGTCCTGATACAATAGCATTTAGTGGGATTTTGTTGTGGATAAATGTACATTTTTCGCATCCCACTAGGACATTTCCGCGGGCCACTATTTGAAGAACACTTATTTCGAAGACTGTGTTTTAAGTCCAGTCTGTTGATGTTTACATCATCAGAGCTTTAACAAGGACAAAAATCTTATCATATTAGGTTTTGTATAGACTTCTCCAAGCTTGGTACTGGAGAACTCTCTGCGGGTGCTGTATTGCAGAGCTGCCTTTCCCCTCTTCAAGCATATGCAAGTAGAATGTGCAACACCACTACTAAACACCACATATGTAAAGATGCATGTTAGGAAGTAACCAGATTATATAGATAGGAATGTTCAAAGCAACACATGGCCTTGCCCAGTCGACCTGACAACAAAGCTGTAGAGAAACCTAAGAGACCTTGAGATAACACACAGTTTATGGTCCACAATGGAGTGAGCACATGACCAGAGACCTCTGAAGAAGACACAGAGTGTTCAAAATAATTTAATTTGATATTACTGATACATTTTATTATTTTCTTACGAAATCCTGTTCTTAAAGGAATTACATTGATTGTAAGTGGTGCAGACTAGAGTTGTTATCTAAAAGTGTCTCTTTTTGTGGTCGCTTTCCTGATTTACACCAACTGACAAGTTCTCCAACGAATGGTATTGAGAGTTGTGTAATAATTTGGTCCAGTATTGCCAACTTCAGGGTCTTTTTAGAGGGAGAGTGGGCTCATCCCTTTACCTTGTTTGTTGTCCCATCCAGTTTCCTACTGGGGGTTAAGACTTAATTCCTTGTGCCCTTTGTCAGAAATTTGACACCAGTTTATTTTGTCCCCAGAGAAACAGACATAGATGAGGTCCTGCAGACACAGAAGGTGTACACAAACGTATCAAAGGGTGAATTTGCAAAGCAAGCAGAATTAAAGAAAATTTTTGATACTGACGATGAAGCAGAAATTTGCAAACTTGTAAGTGACGCTTAAGATATTTAAAACAATATTTTCCAATAATGAATTTAATTAATGCGGATACAAACATTACATTGCACAATTTATTCCGCTGTATCTTATCAGGTGCGTTGCTACAGAGTTACATCAACATAAAATAAAGCACAAAACTGAATAAATTCAACTGAAATGCGAATAGTTTCTTCCGATGCACTGTGTCTGTTTCATGGCCACCGGAAGCTCACCGTAGTCACGTGACTTACCAGGGTAACTTCAAATTTATGATAAATTATGTCTGCTTACAAAGGAGGGTGTTGTTGATTTTTATTGTTTACGCTTCAGCAATTCTCAAAAGTCTCCTGTTCGGAGTGTGGTAAACCACACGGAAAGCAGTGTCTGTGTTAATTATGTGTCCGGAATTAAGTAGATGACCTCCTATGGAGGAAGCGGGTTCTTTCCTCTTGACTGGTCTCGACACCCTAGAAGAATCACTGAGCTGTGTATGTAGCCATTAGGGTATGTGCTCTGCCACTCTATTTCCAAGCTGTCTCTCCGTTCGGCTGATGTAAGTCAACTGGCACTTACATGTAAATTGGTAAATACAATTAGATTTGATGTACAGAGAAACGAGCTGTTTAATAGGTGGGGTTGGGATAGGAGTGGTCTTGTACCTCACTACTGGAACAGCCGCAAAGAATGTTTGGCCAACTGCTGTTGTCAGTCGGTCCTGCAGACGCTGCATGACATCATCACCTCGATAAGTAAGTTGGATATATACTCGTAGTTTGGATACTGTAATTTCGTTCGGGGTAGGGTTGGGTGGGGTGCAATGTTTCATCATTGCACCCCACCCTACCCCGAACAAAATTACAGTAGGACCTACCGCAGAAATAAGCCGTAGCACGATTTTTCAGAGTACTTTTAATATAAAACCTAGTTAAGGATGTCGGCTAGAATGAGAAAAAGTTGTGTTACTGTAATAATCTTGGCTTTCTACTATCTTGGAATGAACCTTGAAATGATACAACACTTGTAATGAATCGTGGTTTGCACCGGCTTTAACGTCTAGGGTTGACAACACAAACGCCAGTCGGCTCCTTTGTACATGCTGTCAGTTTATTTAATTACTTTTATTCCACAGCTTCCACAATTATTTACACTTCTATCGCTCACGACATTTTCAAATACTAGTCATTCTCGCGACATAAAGACTACATCTTCAAATGACTGTAACCGTCTTCCACGACTCCTGTTAATCAACTGACCACGAGGCTAGCTCGGGCTTTCCCTCGTGTACTCGACTAGGCACAAGTATCTCGTGCTGTCCCTTGTTGCACGGACTTTCTGCTTGCCACAATGCAATCGTGGAGACCATGCAAAGCACCTCATCACAGTTACCAATGCATTACAAGCAGGCTACATGGATAAAAAAATGCTCATTTAAGGAAAGTTTTATTGCTGGATATAAGAAACCAGAGCTTTTACAGGAAATGTTGTCGCAAGAAATTCTGGGCGGAATTCGATATTTGAAGAGATATGCTGGTGTCCCAAAAGAAAATGACATGACTGTATTTGAAAGGAAAAAAAATAGTTTTGTACATGAATAAATGTTGATTTTTTGTGTTGGAAAAAATTAGACCTCCCCCAAATATAAACCCTAGTTATTTTTTAAAGCACAGATTAGTTATAAGATGTGGTCTTATTTTCGGGTAAACACAGCAACACATTCCCCTGTTAACTTAAAGTCTTAGCATAAGTAGCTGAAGAAGAGCATAAAAACAATGTGAACTTTGCTACGTTTACATATTTAATGAAACTGTCACTAGCTGATATAAACAATATTTTTATTTCCAGAGTCGTGGTGGTGTAGGGGTTAGCATGCTTGGTTATAAGTTTAGATCCCCATCGAGACAGATTTGTACAGTGACCTGGACTCCCAGATTGGTCTATTCTGACAACTAGCGGGAAGTTTTCTAGAAAGTAAAGGTGGCTGACATAATGTTTATTCCATAACCTATTGAATTCTGACCCGTCGGAAAAACAAGGACTGGCACCATATACTCAGTACAGTCAAGGTATAGAGATTATTTCTTTACTCCATATGTGGGTTCTGGGACACTGTTGTGGGGGGAAACAAGAATATCCCCACTGCCGCACCCCCATCCCTTTTTCCCCAAGCTTGACATAAGCATTGACTTATTTGGGCTTTCTTCAAAGTTATAGAGTGCATCTGCCTGAAAGGCAAGGAACCAGCAGTCTGCACACAAGTAGGCCAGATCTGTAAAATAGTTGTGCATGCAAATCTAAAGTTATGGAACAAGACTCAAGTCCAGAAGTGGACGAACAACCAGAAAATTCTGCCAGAGTTTACAGCCGGTAAACTTGAAGAAGAAAATAGAGGAGGAGAAGAAAATTTCTTTACATACTTTTATTTTTTTTTTTTTTTTTCAGATTCTGAGCAAAGGAGAGCTACAAGTATCGGAGAAGGAGAGGACTGCCCAGTTGGAGGAAATGTTTCATGAAATAGCAACAATCGTGGCTGACAAGTGTGTCCACCCAGAGACTAAAAGACCCTATCCTGTGACCATGATAGAGAAGTCAATGAAGACCATGCATTATTCAGTGAAGCCATCAAAAAACACCAAACAGCAGGTTAGATGACTTTTAAATGTCATAGTCTCCTCCTGATTTTTCTTCTTCTCTTCCTCCATTTACCTCATTGAGGTGTAGGGGGAATGTGCGAATCTTATGGGTGCTCTTTGTAATGTGTTGTATAACTTAACATTTCTGCGAGGCTGGTCTTGATGGCATCTTTCTATCCTTTATGTGATCTTTCTCTTGTATCTATGTTGATTTTATCTTGATTGTGGCTTTCTGTGGCAGTTAGTACCAATTCTTGTCCCATTTCTTTTTTTAAATTAGTTTTTAGTTTTACAGAACACCTTGGGCATGAGCATTCATGAAGTGGAAACATTTGCAGAGGCTGTCTGTCATGCCATGATGTGAACAAATCTCTGCAAAGGATCGGCTAATTGATAATGAATATATGTTGCTGGATTCCAACAGCGAAACAAAGAGGACACTTCAAGTGATTGCTGTCTTGAAAGGCTCTAGACGGTGTTTCCTGAAAGCAGGCCTCCCCACTCAAGGAAAATTATTGGCAGAGCGTTTTTAAAATGTTTGACTGAATGCAGGGATCAGCACATACCTTGAAAATGGGTGATTACCTCTCACTTTCTTAAGGTTCACACTATCTGCTGAGTCAGAACCATGCAGCAGACATATGTAATTTAATGTTGCTATCTGTTGATAATTGTTTCTGGGAAATTAATATGAAATTCTACAGGATCACTAATTGACTTCTTATAAGGGAGCATGATTTACTGAACAAGTTCCAGTTTCATTAGACGTATTTCTACATCTAGTTTAATCTTGGGCACATTAAAGCTTTTGCAAGCTTCACTAATTTATCCCAATGCATTTTTTTGTTAGCTATTAGCCAGTAGATAAATTTATGTATACATATATGAAAATAGTTGTGTTTACCCTTCAGTTGTTTGTTGTTTTGTATTGTATGCTGTAGGGGTCTCTGTGGTGAAGTGGTCAAACCTTTGCCTCGCACACTGAAGGTCATGGGTTCATTTCACCGCAGTGCCTTTCAGTTCACGAGTGCAATTTTTACAGGGATCCCTGTGGATCGTCGCCAGAGCTACAGAGTTCTTGCTGTGTGTGGCGCACAGGTAGCTAGCTTTTCTGCGGAGAGAGACATATGGGATAAAACCCGGTGCAGTGAAGTCAAACCTCTCGACTTTAACTTTTTTAACTTTACTGTGTGCTGTTATGTTTCAGGCGCTAGAAGTAATCAAACAGCTCACGGAGACAGGAACTCTGGAAATTCAGAGAGCTCACATGAAACTGAGAATACTTGTACCAGGTCAGTTATCGCTGTCAAACATCAATACTGCAGTAAGAGTGACAGCAGTTGGATGTTATCATCAGTAGATTGTAGTTTTATGACTGTGTACATTATTTTGTTTCTGTTTTATTTCTTCTTATTCTTAGAGTGCACCGGCTCTAAACTCTGGCAGAAAGTTCAAGTTATTGGTCCCCCTTCTGGAGTTTGGTCTTGATCCTGAACTTCAGTTTTGTGTGTACATCTATTCTACAAGTCTGGCTTATATTTATGCAGACTGTTAGTTCCTTGCCTCTCTGGCAGATGCACTTCAACTTTGAAGCAAACCTAAGTAATTAGTCACCTCCTACAACGTGCTTGTTAGGAGTGCAGTGGGTCAGCTCTTTGTTCTCCAGAATAGAGCCCTGGAACCTACACTAGGATCTTGTTTGATGAGGGGCATGTTTTGACTGTGGCTGTTTTCTCTGTTTGAAACAGGTAAAGAAGGTAAAAAAATCAGAGAGCACATCCGTAAATTGGCTCTGCATATAGAGGAGGACAACTATGATGAGGAGTTAGAGATGGTAGGTAGTTTATTTATGTTTCATGGTACGTAGTTTGTGTCTGTTTCTTAGTACACAGTTTGTGTCTGTTTCTTGGTAAATAGTTTGTGTATGAGCCGAACTTTTTTCAAAAATGACCTTGACTCCCAGGTCGACTTAGCCATGAGTGGGTACCAGGATCAGTCACGGGAAGTAAAGGCGACTGACATGATACTGACCACATCCTCCATCTTGTGCCATTTTGTCTATAAAAATATAGGTCTAGCCCTGTACTCCTAAAGGCGTGGAAAAGGGTTGTTTACTTTTACTTTTTAGTTTGTATATGTTTCTTGGTACATAGTTTATGTATGTTTCTTGGTACATAAGTTGTGTATCTTTCTATGTGCGTAGTTTATGTTTGTTTCTTGGTACATAGTTTATGTTTCTTGGTAGATAGTTTATGTATGTTTCTTGGTACAAAGTTTAGATATGTTTCTTGTTTTTACAAAGCTGAAAATGATAGATAAAGGTAGTCACATAGCAGATGATTGCCATTGGAATATAAATGAAATGTGAGGCCTTCACTTATTCTAGGCAGCTTATTGTTAAATAGAGAGCCTGGCTTATAGTGTCACAACATCAAGCTTGCGAATGGAGATGGAGGCAGTAACAGCAGCTTTCCGGTTACTGGAGAATAGTACAGTCCAGAATGTTACAATTTTTATAGCCTCACACAACATGCTTCGAAAAATAGAAATGGGTGTCCTATTTGTAGTGTGGCTCACATCGGGAGCATGGGATTTTCTGCCCGGGAAATTCTGGGGTGTTGGGTAATAGATTGGTTGCTGCCACTTCTTTGGGAGTGACCTACTTTATGATAAATTGGACATGATGAAGGCTCTCTGGAATCTAGTGGACAGGGTGTCCATAAGTCAAAGGGCTGATTCATCTGTAGTTGGTAGAATGTCTGGATTAGGAAAAGACAAGCAGACTGTCAATCAGGGTGCAGCTGACACCATCAGTATAGAACTCTTCATTGGCTACTGAGGAGGGGGAGGGGCGATTATGGTAATGCCCAAAATGCAGTGATTTTCTTGATTCATTCATTCATTAAATTTTTTTTAGGTCATGAAGTATGATGTGGGGTGGCTAGAAAGAAAAGCTTTTTTTTTCAAGGTCGTTGACTCTTCCTACCTGAATCACAGCTAAACACTTGTTCACCTGTCTTCAGCTGTTCCTTCTTGCATCAGAAGTAAACAGTCTACATCCTTTGCACATGCCATGAAAAAAGGAATATTGAAGTGTGTCTTCAGAATAGGAATGTTTGAGGCGAAAAGAGACAGGAAGACCAAGAGACATGTTGGACAATTTGGCATCATAGCACGGAAGAATATCTGTAAGAAATATGATTGACAGTGCACAAGTCAGAAAGCTTTGAAAAGACATACCGTGCCATAAATTATATGAATAAGATGTTATTGACAGAATTGTCATGTTTTTTGATGTAACCAAAAGTTTCAAAATATTTTGTTTCTCTTTTTTATTTCTGTCAACTCTACTTTCAGCATATCTCTCCAGAATCTCTATTTAATTGTTACTTTTTCCATGAAATACAGCATAGCATATTTTTTTGGATATCCACATCTCAAGAGCTTCAGTTTGAATTATTAGGTTTTTGTTTATTTTACAAGTTTCTGCACCATTTAAGAGAATTAAATATACAGAACAATTTTTAGTGTGATTTTTTTTTGTATTGCTCTAGATGTTAATAATTTTCTCGTGTTGAAAATATTTATAGACATTCCTTCTCTCGTTTTATTTTAATTTCCATTTTACATCTGCCTTGTGCTAAAAGATAAAAGTCTTATTTGTTTTTTAAATGTACAGCATAATTTACATTTGATTTGATTTCTTGCCAGGTAATCCTAGTCGATCCTGGCTGTTACAGAGAAGTATCGGATCTCATTAACGCAGAGACAAAGGGCAAAGGTCAAGTTGAAATGGTCAGCCTTAAGGAAGTGGAAGAAGGGGAAGAAAAATTGTAACAAGGAATGATCCTTGAAACTGCTTTTTTTTTTTTTGGTCAACTTTTTTTTCAGTCTCAGGACAAGTGCCCAAGGATGTAATAGCCACTTTTACAAGGACGTTATTTTCAAACCTGCTGCAGATATTGGAAGCGATCAATGTAGAAGCCACATGCTGTGATGTGTTAAAAAGTAATGGAAGCATTTGGGTGATTTTATGGAAATATTTTCTTGGCATCCGCTAGCTGTAAAGTTCTGGTTGTTCGTCCACTCCTGGAATTTGGTCTTTGTCCAGAACTAGTTTTATCTGCACATCTGTTTTACAGATCTGGTTTATTGTATGCAGACTGTTGGTTCTTTGCCTTTCAGGCAGATGCGCTCTGACTTTGAAGAAAACACCTCTAATTAGTTGCCTCTTTCGAAATGCTTCTTAGGGGGCAGTGAGTCTATTGTTGGTTCCCCATAATGGAGCCCTGGAACCAAAACCGGATATTTTATGGAAACAAAAGGAATGACTAAACACACATCTTACCTTTCCTGGGACTGAAGGAGTTTAAATGGTTGCATTTCTTTGTACAGAAGCATATATACTGTACTTGTTTAGGTTGTGGTTGTGTCTGTTTCTTTCTGACAAAAGAGTGGATTTTTCCCTACAGGCTGTGTCTGACAATGAGTGTGTTGGTGGCACGGCTGAGTGGTTTTGATATTCAGTAATTAATCAAAATGTATTTACCTGTACTCCAAGCATAAACGGTTAATGGTTGTCCTACTGCAGGTACAACCATTGAAATGTAAACATTAAGCTTTCATATATTCTAGGCTACAAAATAATGAGGTGTGATGGCCATTTCCCAGCATTGAGCCTGGCATTTTTATGAGAAATGGCTTTTTTTTTTTTAGCAACATTTAGCAGAATATGGGAGAGCAGTAAGTTCACAATTAAAGCAAAAACCAGTTGATGTCGTGCTTTTGTTCTCATCTATCTTCTTTATAACAGTGAAACATGGCCAACTTATTCACACCAGGAGAAATGGCTCAATAGCTTTCAAATGCGATGCCTGAGAATAATACTTGTAAGTGGCAAGACAAGATGACAAACACTGAGGTATTGAAAAGTGCAAGTTATCACTAGTTTTCTCAATGCTAAGTCTTCGAAGGCTGAAGATTGAAAGGTCACTCTTGGAGTATGGTAAAGGTCCTAGGGACATCATCTGTGGTGGATAACAAATGGTAGAAAATGTCAGGCTTTTACTACAATGAATGATTAGGAATGGAGGTAGATCTGTGGGAACAGGATGCCAAGGACTGTGTTGCATGGATATATCAGGAAGGGAACAAGAAAAACAAACGTCAAAACCATTGCAGATGACTAAGCTCTGAGCATCTGGGAAGAAGCTAGTTAGATACATGCAGTAGCAATGGTGGTCCTGAAACCCTGTCTTCTAATTTTGGGAGACCGTTCTTTATTTGAGCAGATCTTGCAGGTCACACTCTCTATTGCCATAGACTGATTCTCCTTCCTCTCTCATATAGTACACTTACCATGTGGAAAGGATGGAAAGGTACAAGTAAACCTCTGCTGTTTAGGAAGATTGTTATATCTATATGGTGTTTGTACAACCGGACTGTGATATTTCTGTCTTTCCACAAGTAAATCAGCTTTTATCCCAACATTTGTTGTCCGAGTCCATCTTTTCTGGATAGTTCCTCAATACATTGCACAGTCTCAGTACACTGTTGTTGGCTGCATCCATTTTCTCTACTGGTTATAATCGGCCTTTCTAATGTATGTGGCCTGGAGCAGACATCAACAGCAACTCCTCCGTTCTCAGATAATTTGATGACGTTGGGGTTGCTTATAAACTATTATTTGTTGCTTTGCTGTTTAGACATACCATCCTTAACAGTCTCATCATGCTATTTGGCCCACAAGGGTACTCTCTGATACAACCTCCCTCCCACCCCCCCCCCCCCCCCCCCACCCCCACTTTTTTTCTTTAAAAAAAAAAGGAGGGGGAAGGCTGAGCAACATTTAGGGTAATGTCTTCAAAATTAAAAGTTTCCTGAATGCCTTATAGTTGTGCTGGTGTTTGCTCTGTGTGTGATATTAATTTCAAGTGTTAGTGTAGCTGTTACAGAATTCACATAATTAAAGAAAAAAACCTTGTTCAGATTTCTTGTTTTTTTATCATTTTATGAAATCAGAACATAAACTAGTCTAAGGTGTGCCTTGTGTACAATGGAAGTGTCAGGTATATGCATCCACTGCAGTACTAAGAAATATCATTTGGTGAGAACTAAGTCTCTTCCATGTTGCGATTCTTTTACCACAGTCCAGACGCCCAAAACTACTTTAAAAAATTAGTCAAGCGAAAGTCTCTTCATATTTTTTAGACTAATGGGTCATATAGTCAGCAAGTTGGCATGCCCCTTTTGCTTCCTGTGACATTTCCTTGTACTCATTTTTTGCCAAGTCCAACTTAAATTATTTTTTTATACCTCCAATGTCGATTAAAATTGGAAACTGACCTCATAGTTGGCATTTTATTTCTCAGGGTCAGCTAGGTGTCTGTGATATAGAGGTTAGGGCCATCGGGTCTAGCCACACCATTGACTGAGTACGTAAGTCTCTCGAGAACCCCTTTATTCACCTGATGGGCTCCAGTTCACCTAGAAGACTTAACACCCAACAAAGTTCTGTATAATATATTTTTAGTTTTGGTCTTACCATTCACAGCTTTTCTGGCTAGTGTTTATTTCCAATTGTCACACTTGTGTCAGCAGTTGAACTGGCTAAGACGTCGATTTCTCTCGGAGATACTTAACATAGATTTTTTTGGGAGATACTTACATGTGGAATTTTCTATTGAATGCACAGTCAGTCGAAGAAAGGCAAACCAGAAGGTGAAGTGAAACAATTGGAGGCGACATGGGGCGAGCGGCATGTCAAACTCTTTTAATTCCCTGCGGCTCATATTTGTGTTGTCGTTAGGCCCATACACAACAACTAAACTGAAGTCTTCTATGAAAAAGATTGCAGAATATTCCCCTTGTGCGGGCCGCAGATGTGCTTGCAAAGATCCACGGGCCGCCAGCTCAACATTCCTGACCTATAAGATGAGTCGGTTGAAGGCCTGTAATCTGCCGGGAAATAAAGAGATTTGATATTACCACCTGACGAAAGGATTAGGCTTTGTAGAAAAGACATGGGCTGAATAAATTCTTCGACGCTGATTGAATCAAGAAATGATATCATTGCACTGGGGACATTCCCACACGTCCTTCATCCCATTCCTCTGTAGCCAACGATGAGTTCCTATACCCATGGTACTGGCTGTAACCTTGTTAAAAGTTTTCCTCTTGTTCCCAGCGTAAGTAGAAAATTTGAAACCTCCTGCTTACGTTCTGGTAATCTTTCTGCCATCTGGTAGACATATTTTAAAACAATAATCAATAATCTCTGAACAGCAAGAAGTCAGCTGGTTATGATGCAATAAGGGAGAGAGGTCTGTATCGTTATTTTTACTGAATTCGTCTATCTTCTTTTTAGTGTTAACAGGACCGTAAACTCCGAAGGAGAGTTCTGGTTGTTTATCCACTACTGGTCTTTAGTTTTATTCCATGGAAGGATATAAAACAATACGTAGATCAGAGAGCTTCACAATACAACCAACAAAACGTGAACATTGCGGCTATAGAGCCTTCTTCAGCAAATACGTTAATCAAACAAAACCACACGAATATACAAAATAACTCAACATGGGGCACAAGAAATAAAAAGAATTGGTTCCTTCCCTCTCAAACTGTAAGAAATTTCACCTGGAAGGTTTAAATTATTACTAATTAAAATTCTTAGTTTCCAACGAAAACTCTCAAGATATGATTCTTTTACAGCCACTGACAGCAAAAGACCAAGTCCTGACCATCTCCTGGGAGTGTTGTTTAAATCAGTGTTTCCCAAACGTTTCTTGGTTGTGGCGCCTTTATTTAATTAAAAATGTTCCACGGCGTCTAGCCTAAGTAAAAGTATGACTATTCGTGTCTTGGTTAAATAAATTATGAAAATTTTACAATATTTCGTGGCGCCCCTGTGAAGAGGTCGCGGCTGCCCGGGGCGCCACGGCGCACAGTTTGGGAATCACTAGTTTAAATGAACAGGAGAAGTGACAGACGCTAGTCTTTGGCGCTATAACCGTTGGTCAGAAGAGGCTTGTCGGGGAAGGGGGGGGGGGGGTAATGCAGCTCATCTGGGAGAAATAAAACTCTGATTTAAAACCTCCACTGCCTGGCAGGGGTCGACCACCACGAAGATGGATACAAGACACTGAAGATGCGTTGGCATTGAAAGCACATGGGGCTGGAGAACTAGCTAGAGAAAGGGCCGTCTTAACAACATTATGGGCTCCCGGGCAATTCAGTCTGCTGGGGCCCCTAAGACAACCACCCATAGGAACATAGGAATGAAATGTAAATGGTGGTTATACTACACATAGATTTATTTTACTGGTATTTCAACAAAACCGTTCTTAAAACATAAACACAGATTAGATGGTACAGTTTGAAACTATTACGAACTTCTTCTTATGACGAGGAATTTCAGAGAAATTTGACTAAAAGGCTCAACAAAATGGGGAAGCAGAAAAACGTGCACAAAACAACACAACGTAACGTTTCGACCGGGCAGCCTTTGTCAAACATAAGTGAACTACACAAACGTAACAGCAAGGAGAGTAACGTTTTTCTGCTTCCCCATTTTGTTAAGCTTTTTAGTCAAATTTCTCTGAAATTCCTTGTATTAGCTTGACTGCAGTCACCCCCATATTTTCACCATTCTTATAACAAGCAGTTGCGGCATTTCTTTTCACTGAATTGCTTTATGATAGGCTCTACGTCAGTGGTCTGCGGGTGTCATTTTCAATGCACGTGAGTAAAAGCCAGCTCAAACGTTTTTGACCCATTTTGCTACTAAGCACATTTAAAAAATAATAACAGATCATTACACTCTGAAGATAACGCTACAGCCAGGAGTGACCCGAGGATCTGATCGACACTCGAGGAAGGACAAGAATGACAGATGTGAACTAGTACTTATACCGATGCAGTTGGAACTTCTAGCAGGCTGCTGAAAATGAGGACACGGAGCGATTACAGGAATTTCATGTGTGCTATAATTTCGGTTGACTCAACCTTACTTATTACCGCACACTACTTTTACTCACTTACATTATATACAAAACATAGAAGCACTGGGAAAAGAAGCGGGTAGGCAGACATGCAGTCGGACATGCTGGGGCTATCGGAGTGGGACTATTCGTTGGCTGCTTAAGATGGGGACGGACCACATACAGGAATGCCCCGAGTGCTATGATGTCTGTTCTTGTTACTCATCATCATCCCGTGCACTGTCGACTGGCGTAGGCGTTAATGCATCTACACAGATCTCGGTCTTGTCTCTTGGATCAGTTCCATCGATGATATTTCCCCCGTGCCATAGTCGCAGTCCATCTGTCGTCGTCTCTCTGGGTCTGCCTCTCCACTCTACAGTTGGTCTTCCCAGTCGTCACAATATTCTCCAAAGCCTCCCCTCATCAGATGACCAAAGAACAATGCTTGTTTTTGTTTTCCCCATCATTATGGCTGCAACTATTTATCTTTTTTTTTTTTTAAATTATCTTTCTTCAAGCAATCCTCGTTAGTTACTGTGGCAGGTCAAGGGATTCTTAACATTCGTCTGACCAGATTATCAGATCTCCGTCGCCACCAATTTAAAAAGATAAATTCACATTAAATTCGTTGCTTCCACGATTGCGGTTTTTAGACAACCACACTACATGATGACATTTTATAGTTTGTTTTTCTGTAACAACCCGGCCGGCCCACGGAAACTTTCTCCTCCTTGTTGAAAGTTTTATTGTAAATGTTTCTATTTCTTTAGAGAACTTATACACTGGGACATTTTTCAAACTCGTAGTCAGGTCTCGAGTTTTGCATTATCTGTGAGAACTGTAAGTGTCAAGTCAGCACAGTACAGCAAATGCGCGAGCGGTTAAAAAGTTGGATTTACATTTAATTCATTTATCATGAAATATATTCAGTAATTAGTAATATGTAAAAACCCGCGCATCCGAAAAGCGGGGGTGCAGTTACTAACAAAGCCGGACTTTTTTCTGAAATGACTTTAGCTTCCGGGTCGACCCAGTCTAAAATAAAAATTGGTACCAGGTAAAGACCAGGGAAGTAAAGGCGGATGTCGTGATATTGAGTAAATCCATTACCGCGTGCCGATTGGTTTGTAAAATATCGATCGCGCCCTATGTACCCAATACGCCTGAAGGTGTGTAAAGGGGTCCTTTAATTTATCTTAAAAATACTAATTTAGTAATTATTGTAAATAGTAAAATTAGGCTATCCTCTGAATAACGGGCACAGAGTATCGCCCACGCCACTACACGCGGTGTGGAGTGGGGCTAAACTAGATGGCGGTGACTCACGAGCAAATAAAATGAAAGAAGCTGCATGAGATGCGGTAGCTGCTGCTCGTGAGTCCCAGCCATCTAGTTTAGACCCACTCCATGCCAGGCGTAGCGGCGTGGGAGATACTCTCTCGGCGGAGGTTGCCGGGAGTCCGCAATTCAAGTTGCCAGAAGTCTGCAATTTACATGTGATTGAGGCCCTGTCTTGGTGTGTTTTGGCCGCCATAATATGTGCTCGTTATTCAGAGGAAAGCCTAAAATTACTATTATTACAAATCATTTCGACTCCATTATTTAACTTATTGGCACTACTTTACTTTATCAGATCCTAAATACAAACCCAGTGTAAGAGTAACGTAACAAGTAAAAGACCCTCTTCACTACAGTGGCCTGTAGACATATGGTGCTAAGCCCTCGATAATGGAGTTAGTCAATCTGGCGCGTTTACTTCTCAAGACATTGGCTAGTACCCATTTTATACTTGGCCAACCTGGGAGCCAAGGTCAGTTTCTGAAGAAGAAAAAATCTGTCTCAGTGCTAAACACAATACTTTTGGTGTATCAGATGAGTGTCCTGGCACTCATAGGAAATATTTCGGCTCTCCTTGCAATAACGGTTGCTAGTTGGACGGCGAGGGCTGCTTAATCGGAGTTCAGTCCCCTGGCTGCAGTGCAATTACGGAGTGGAGAAGAGGGAACGACACAAATGACATAATTAGGGGTAGGGGTAGGGTTAGGCTAATGTGAGTCGCAGAGCGTGGTCTAGACGCCATGTTGAACTCACTGTGTTTTGTGATTCATGCCTTGTCCACTCCGTAATTGCACTGCAGCCAGGGGACTGAACTCCGACTAAGCGGCCGTCGCCGACCAATTAGCGACCGTTATTGCAAGAAGAACCAATATTTCAGACAAGCAAGAGGATGTGAGACCAGTACTTTTAGTGTTAGTTTTCACCGAATAAACTAACAATCATTACGGTGTCTAGTATATCTTCTTATGCTTCTTAGCATTCATCTGCTGTAAACTCTGGAGAAAGTTCTGGTTGTTCATCCTCTTCTGGACTTTGGTCTTGTTCCTGAAATTTGGCTGCAAATGTATACAGTATAGCTAACATCCTCCACAGGATGTACAAGAATATGAAAACATTATCAGTGTTGCGCATGTTTTTTTTGTCTGTTTATTTATTAATTATGCGTACAATATCTTTCCATAGATGAATGAGGCTGAAAGCATCTTTATCAAGTGGATGAACCAGGCGTTGGCAATTGCTGAAGAGGCACTGAAAGCACAGGAAGTTCCAGTCGGCTGTGTAATTGTTTACCAAGAAAACATTATCGGCACAGGGGGCAATAAAGTCAATAAAACCAAGAACGCAACCAGGCATGCCGAAGTTATTGCCATAGAAGAAGTTCGAGAGTTTTGTCTAGCAGAAGGGCTTGATGAGAAAGACGTTTTCGGCTCGTCGACTCTCTTTGTGACCGTAGAACCCTGTTTGATGTGTGCTGGTGCCCTGCGACAGATTGGGCTGCCTCTGGTTGTGTACGGCTGTGCTAATGACAGATTTGGTGGCTGTGGTTCTATTCTAAATGTGGCTAGGGATAAAGCTATTTCTTCCAGCATTGGGCCGTGTTTTGATGTAGTCAGTGGTGTTTTAGCCGAGCAAGCAGTGACTTTGTTGAAGACATTCTACAAGGGAGAAAACCCGAATGCTCCAGATAGCAAACGAAAAGTGAAAGATACAGAACCAGGTCGGGTATTAGCTCTTTTAGCTCCAGGAAGTCCTAGTTATTGTTAAAATCTTAGAAAAGCAAGAATAACAACACTAAACTCATAGATATTGGCGTGTGTATCCTTGGCTTCTTTCCTTGACCAGCAGCAACTTTGGTTTCCCCTCTCCCAGTTGGTCAGTTCGTAGGAAAGACACATTGCGACGACACTCAAATTGACTGGGGAAACTGTTTTATTCCTGTTCCAACGGTTTTGTCGTCTTGTCCCTGTCCTTGGTCCTCACTATTTGTCTAGGAGTCTGTCACAACTGCCACCACTTCAGGACTACAACTCTAATACTTAGTCACTTACCTTGAACTCTGGACGTTCCATTCATACTGGTGTTTCATCTTCGAGGCACAGCACAACAAACATTCTCGGCCACCCAATTGTTCAGTACAGGGTCACTTTTGATTCAGCTATCTTCATTGTATTCTAGATACTTGTCAGCTATCGTGATTCACTACAGGCCCTCTTCTCACTCAACTTGACCTGTCTCTCACACTGTCAGACACCAGCTGATCATTCCTACTTCCTCACCTCTAATCCTGTAATCCTTTCTTCCCATTCCACAGGTTTCTTCTTCCAGTTGTTCACTCATACACAGGAACTTACAGGCTTACTTTATATACCCTTCCCCCGCTTAACTGGTCCTTGACCTAACTTGTCACACTTGGGAACCCCTTCTGGCTCATGGGATTTCCAACTCATAGCTGGTGTACTGCTTCCACAGGAGCCGAATGGGGAGTTGCCGTGGCGTAGCTGCTAGACGCTCACGTGCTGATTGGAAGGTCGGTGATTCTCTCTCTGGCGGAGTTCGATTTTAAAAACAAATGACCTTGACTCCCAGGTCGACCCAGCCTTAAGCGGATACCGGGGGCAGTTCCGGGAAGAAAACCCGGCCATCGTGATGCTGACCACATCACCCATCTTGTGCCGATTGGTCTATAAAAATATAGGTGTAGCCCTATATACTCTGTACGCCTAAAGGTGTGGTAAAGGGACCTTACCTTTACTTTACAGGGGCCGAATACCCAGTCCATGAAGGAAATGTATACTTCCTTTTTTTTTTTTAACGAAAGAATCCTTCAGTAAACCTCAAATATAAAACATAAGTAGCTTTCTGAATGGTATACATGACTAACATCTAGTCAGACAAGGTGTGTCGCTTAAGGCAGAAAGAGTGAACATTTCATCATGTTCATAAAGTGCATTACCTGCTGACAAGGGTGATCAGTCTTGTCAACATTGTGTGACCTCTGACAACTGACAAGGGTGATCAGACTTGTTCACGTTTTGTGACCTTTGACAACTGACAAGGGTGATCAGACTTGTCCATGTCTTGTGACCTCTGACAACTGACAAGGGTGATCAGACTTGTCCACGTCTTGTGACCTCTGACAACTGACAAAGGTGATCAGATTTGTCCACGTCATGTGACCTCTGACAACTGACAAGGGTGATCAGACTTGTCCACGTCTTTTGACCTCTGACAAGGGTGATCAGATTTGTCCACGTCGTGTGACCTCTGACAACTGACAAGGGTGATCAGACTTGTCCACGTCTTGTGACCTCTGACAGCTGACAAGGGTGATCAGATCTGTCCACGTCTTGTGACCTCTGACAGCTGACAAGGGTGATCAGATCTGTCCACGTCTTGTGACCTCTGACAGCTGACAAGGGTGATCAGACCTGTCCACGTCTTGTGACCTCTGACAGCTGACAAGGGTGATCAGACTTGTCCAAGTCTTGTGACCTCTGACAGCTGACAAGGGTGATCAGATCTGTCCACGTCTTGTGACCTCTGACAGCTGACAAGGGTGATCAGATCTGTCCACGTCTTGTGACCTCTGACAGCTGACAAGGGTGATCAGATCTGTCCACGTCTTGTGACCTCTGACAGCTGACAAGGGTGATCAGATCTGTCCACGTCTTGTGACCTCTGACAGCTGACAAGGGTGATCAGACCTGTCCAAGTCTTGTGACCTCTGACAGAAGTATCAGCTCATGCACTGGTATTCCCTGCTATGATATAATACTGCTAATTATTGCCTTATCGTTATCTTCCGTGGGGGAGCCACCGTGATGTAGCGGATACAAGCTTGCTTGCCGATTCAAAGGTAGTGGGTTTGAATCCGAATAGAGCCGTTCTTTTTTCAAACATGACCTTGGCTCCCAGGTTGACCCAGCCTTAAATCTGTACCAGGCAAAGTCCTGGAAAGTAAAGACCGACCACATCATCCGCCTAGTGTCAGTTGGTCTATAAAATATAGATCTAGCCCTATGTGCCCAGTACACCTGAAGGCTTGAAAAGGGGTTCTTTTACTTACATTAGCTTCCTCTATTTCCAGTTGTTAGACCATGATCAGTTTGTATTTTCTCACCATTTGGCCATATAATGGCGTAAAGAAATAGTAAACAAATACAAAGAGTTTAAAGGATTTGACTGAATCAGAAATTAATGGGGACAGAAACTAATCATGAACAAGACTTGCATTCTATATACCAACTGATGAATGTACCAACTAACAGATATATTAATTAAGTTATATGTTAAAAAAGATATAAACAATGCAGTGCTATCTGTTTTTCTCCCACAGTTTGTGTCTAGTAAATAGAGAAATAGTTACAAAGATGACGAGTGTTCAAGCTATGTTGTGTAAGAACAGACATGCAGTGTTGGTCAGAAAAGCTGTGTTTTTGTGCAGGTAAGATCATTATTTTGAGTTTGAAAAATGGGAAGACAGAAGTAACGGTGGCATCAAAGAAATTAATTATTCCTAAATGTGTAATAAAAGTAGATGGTGTTATTTTAGGACAAGTACAGAAATGTAAATATCTGGGCACATGGATAACATCAGATGGAAGATGCATAACTGAGATAAGAAGCAGATTAGGACAGGCAAAAACTGCATTTTATAAAATGAAAAATATCTTGTGCAATATATCCTTGTCATTGAGAGTTAGAAAAAGAATTCTTGCTTGCTACATACATCCAGTTTTAACATATGGCTGTGAATCCTGGACAATAGGTAGGCAGGCCAAAAAATTTCTTGAGGCCTCAGAGATGTGGTTTTACAGAAGAATGAGAGCAACCAAGGGGTTTTGAAAGAGGCGGGAGCCCGAAGACAACTTATCACAGACATCAGAATAATTTTTTGACCATGCTATGAGAAGAGGGAAAATAGAACATGTTGTGACCACTGGAAAGATCTGTGGAAGGAGGGATAGAGGAAGACAACGAGAGAAGATGCTTGACAGTCTTGTTGTATGGCATGGAGGTGTGTCGGCACACGAACTGATACATGCTGCAGGAAATCGCAGATTATGGAGAGGCATGATCGCCCACGCCAGTCGGCAAGGCACCTGATGATGATGATGACACAATCACCAGAAGCATGGATCCAGTGAGTGCTCTTGTCCCGCCAAGTCATCAAGATACTTCCACAGGTTTTAGATATAGATGATCAAATGGTTTGGTCATGTAGCAAGATTGGAAGCAGACAAGGCACCACAGAGAGCATTGTTAAACAGATATAGCGGTAACAGAGCCAGGGTCTGCAGAAGATTGGTCGTTGAAATATTAGAGACACTGAAAAGTACTATGTACAAAGTGAACAGAAGGGCTAATTGCAGAGATCTCTTTGTGCTCTGGCACTGCGAGGCCTTCCCGAAGTAGAGAAAAGAAGATCAGAGTTTTGACAGAGACCTGATTTTTGTATGTCTCTTCCAGCAGGCGAGATGTCCAGTTGTCCACACATACCAGAGATTCTGAGAATGGCAAGTCCAGCAACCACAGGCAGAAGCTGGTCATCCTCGGGACCGGCTGGAGCAGCTACAGTGTCCTGAAAACTATCGACAAAAAACTGTATGACGTCATCGTGGTCAGTCCACGGAACCATTTCCTGTTTACACCACTACTGGCCAGCACCACAGTTGGTACTTTAGAGTTTAGGTAGGCTATGAGCAGTAACAAATTCTAAATATTTGCGGTGAAGGATTCTTAAACTCTTTATCATATGTTAGACACATGGGCAGCCTTCAACCTGCATGGCATGTGGAAGAGTTTTTAATGGCATGCTGGGTTGAACTGCAATATAAGATCTCTTTTTAAACATGTGAACCTTGGGGCCTCATTGTGGGAAAGAGGGGGGGGGGGGGTGAGAAAAGAATAAGAAGCACGTTGTAGGAGTCGACTAATTTGGGGTGTTTCCTTCAAAGTCAGAGTGATGAACCAACAGTCTGTGTACCAATAAGCCAGATCTGTAAAATGGATGTGCACACAAAACTGTATTTTACAGATATGGCTTATTTGAATGCAGACTGTTTATTCTTTGCCTCTCAGTCAGTTGCATTCTGACTAAAGAAAACACCTTAATTAGTAGCTTTTTAAAAAAAAATTATATTGGGGGTGGGGTCAGTGAGTCTGTTTCCCCCCCCCCCCCCCCCCCCCCCCGATAAATGGGGCCGTTGAACCGACACATGGATATCATCTCTGAAAATGTTGCTTTAGATCTAGCTCTTCTTCTCCTCCTTCTCCTCCTCCTCCTCCTTCTTCTGTCTTTGCCCTTAAAAAAGGGCAAAAAAACTTTTTGGTATGTTGTCTTGTGGTTTTCTATGATATCTGCACTCTTCAGCCAAACATATCCAGTTTGAGCAAATTCCTCCAACTTCTTCTACATTTTCTTCACTTCATCATGTACCACTTCAGATGTCGAGGAAGATACAGTTTTAATTCTTGCTCCTCTGAACGCCTCGACCATAGACACATTGTGCTGCTGTAGAGTTTCTCTGTTGTCATTTTTCACATCTAGTTCTTGGTCTGCTCCTTTCTTTGCATGAACTCCTAGTCACCTTTTATGACATGCTTATTAGGGAGCACTTAGTCCCCCACCCCCCCCCCCCCTCCTTTTTTCCCCATAATAGGCCCCGAAACTGACATGGCTCATGGTCTGTGCATGTATCTTTTACATTCCACCTTCCAGTTGCTTTGTTAGGTACCTAAGTGCTTGACTACATTGTCTTGGT